AGCACAGCAGCCTGGGTTTGCACCGTCTCGCTGCGAAAGCGCAAATCTTCGAACTCGTGGACAAACACTCGGCTCTGAGTGAAGACGATGGTGGGAGGGCTGAACTGCGTCAGCAAATCGTAGAGATCTCAACCAACACCAACGTCATCTCACCGTTCACCTCCTTCATCGGCGTTGACCCTGACAAACAAGGTGAGGGCAGCTGGATTAGACCTTAGTACACCTGCGCTCTAGTCCTTAAGCCACTGAAAATGAACCGTACCATGAGGGTGTAAAATAAATCTGTGGGGGATTCATTTCACTTATGAGTGATCCTCGAAGGTTGGGGGGTTTTGTGTTCTCACATTTTACTTTGATATCATTTTAGAAGACTTTGAGAGACCGATAAGTAAGTTATGCGCCCTAACGCTGAAACAAAATGTTTGCAAGTCCGTTTGTGTGTTGTAATTCACCTTTTGTCTGTCACTTGCAGGAAATCCAACGTAAGTTCAGCATTTTCACGTCAAAAGAATTTAACCAGAAACAGTATAACTTTGCAGTCAGTCGAGTTGTAAATTCATTTTACTGAAATAATGCGCTTTAATTTGAAAAAAATTCACTTTAACAGATCCTGTTTGCTTGTTGATGTATCCTACATTGCATCCGTCGGAAATGTTCCATAGTAGAATTTTTTCTAAACGACTTGAAAGAGGTGTTGCTCGGTAAAACCACGTCTATGGTTGTCGTAATTCATCTTAGAATGCTTGCAGCTACCTGCTTTGAATTAATGCCTTTTTCTTGCTCCATTGGTTATGCACGGTACTTTTTGGGCTGTGCTATTCAGTTTGACCTTAGGTGACCTTGTTTTAACTGTCTTAAGTTCTTGTAAAAGAGGATTGAATTTAAGCCTAATAGGAATTTGAAAACAACACTTATTAAAGGCAACAATTGGGATAAGAGCGATAGAAGTCAGTTAAAATAGTTTCAGTGCCGTAATTTTCTAGACAACAGAATTAATTGTTTTTGGCTGAAATGTTTGACTAAAATATCTTGTGCACAAGTAGGTCGATCTAAATGGTCGGAAAAAGAGCGTGCAGAAGCTGTCATTTACCGTTAAGTTATGTGTTAACGACCCCACGGTTTATCCACATTTCAGATTCCCACATGCAGTCGTAGAGGCAGACGGTAGGTGATTAATTTGTCATCGTGTTGCATTTCTTTGACCACGAAGGTATTTTTAATGACATATAATGCGAGGTTTTACTGAGCCATAACTTCGCTAACAAAGTCACACGTCTCAGTCACTTTACTTATCCTGTTTTTAATTTTGTTTTAAGTGGGTAGAATTTGAAAAAAAAAGAGTACACTTTTAAGAACGTTTGAAAGTCTGTCTGCCAGCTTGCCCTAATAAATGTCTTCTCATTTTAGCGGGTCCAGCACAGTAAGTTCAAATTTTAAGTAGCAAATTCTCTTCACAGTGCCGTTTGTTCCCTTTACGGCAAATGACAACGTTTTCTCTAAAACTTGTCACGTAGTTTGGCAAAGATGCTGACTTGAGGTGTAAAATTGGAGTCCCTGTTTGTTGAACGAATGTGGAAATGCTTGCCTTGCCTTAATAGTGCTCCGTATTCCTTACCGTCGGCTCCTTGCTGTGCTTGTCTTTCAGCTTCGTCGGCTTTTCCAAGTTGGCAACTCCGTGTGCAGGTAATCGTCGGAAACTTAGAAAAAGGTGCAGTGTCACGGCAGCTTTTACAAGTTGTGTATTTCATGACGACTTTGATTAAACAAGGCTTTTGTTGTTGATCCACAAATTATCAGCGTTTTCTCTCTTCTCTTTCACTAGCTCCTCTAGGGTAAGTGAAAATCGTAAACACGTGAATTTACCTCATGACGTAGAGATTGCACGCAATTGGAAGTATCGTTGATTCACGTCCAAACAATAATACTGTGCACGTGACCTTGAACACCTGTGTTCCGATTGGCCGATGTCGTTGTTTTTGTTGTTCAACTTACTCCGTCATTCCGTAATGACCTCCTATGCAGTACTGAACTGACGGAGATCTAAAAGCGGTTGACGAATCCCGTGACAATTCCCGAGGACAAATTGCAGACGTGTAACGAGCGTAGTGATTTCTCTCATCAGAGTGTAGTGCGCATTTCGCGTATCTGACTCCAACTTGGTTTTCATTGCAGGTCACAAGGCAGAGGATTTGCACCAGCAGGTAATCAAGAAAATTTTGCATCATCCTCAACTGCCATCGCTTTGTTGTTCATCCGAAATGTGTGAAAAATGCCATGCAAGCCCAAATTTTACCTGCTTAAATTTCCACTTAATGCTTCATGAGCTAGTGAATGCGCCTCGTAGATTCGGTGACGTCTCTCATGTGAATGACCAACCTCCATCACATATTAACTCTCTTTGTGTTCAGGCACAGCGGGCATACCACTCGCCAATGCATGGCATTCATTAAAACAAGTTGCTTCGTGAATTTATCGTCTACGTAGGTGCCGCGGCACCTTTGTTTAAGGTGAAAGGGCCCGCTAAGGTTCACTCACTTACTTAGCGTTGGTCAAACCATCCGTTAACATAATTAACAGCAGTCAGTGGCTTGGTTTATGGACTAAATCGTCCTAATCCAAACCCCTGTAAATATCCTACTGACTCACCAAATCCGCGTGTAACTCGACAAGCTGCACATGACCTGTAGCTGAGGTGTCTGAATTGACTTGCGACGCGAAATGCCACAGTCGATAGAAATGGCACTCAATTATAACGGTTTGAAAGTGGTACAACATCTTTTAATGGGTTCGTCAGTGGATGCTGTCAACTGCCCATTACATTGTACGATGTGCGATACACATAAGTGTGCGTCTGAGAAAACCCAACGTCATCATCAGCAGGCGGTTGATTTTGCCTAATGCGAATTCCGAAATGCAACCTTAAACCTCATCCACCGCTCTCTACAACAATCTTTAACTTATTGAATGATATATCACACGACCAACCTTACGTAACTGCATCAAGGATTTTGCTTGAGTCCTGCCTCTAGCTTGAACCCAGTCGATTTCTGGAACCGTGTACGGTTACTTTGTGTGGAAATCTCCAGGTGTATTTGTGACACCTCAAGCATCCATGTTTTGGGTGTGACAATTCTATGCTTGGTTGCTATCTAGACTTAAGTTCTCAAGTGTTAGCCGTTAGTGTGCAAGCTCTAGAGGCTTAGGACAAATGAAAAAAATATGTCAAGAGGCAATTCAAAATGGCGCTCTCACAGCATTCGCCTTTGACATGCAGTTGTTTGTGATTGTTCCCATGTACCGAAAGAGACTTGTTTGATGTCAACTTTGATGATAAGAGGTTGGTTGTCGGCTGAATCGATCACATTCATGCAGAGACATCACTTTAAACATGACCGGTGTAGAGTCGAGTGCACCGACTACAATTTGGACTAGGTATGTCGGTGTATTTTGGTCAAATTACCTCCTGACTGTCAGCCGATAGTTATGAAATTGTCTGATTCGTTCTTCAATTAACAATTTGTCTTTTCGTTCTAGCCCCTATGATGTTCTGCGCAAGTGCCAATGGTGAGCATTTAAATGGTGACACCGTTTTACGTGTTAAAAACTCTAGCCACCACCAACCAGGTCACTTGCTGTTTCAGATACCCTAATATGTAAGACAGAAAACACGGGTTAGTTTCTCACAAAAAACATTGTTTTGTGTGTTAATTTTACTCCTTTTTTTACGAGTCGATTCAAACCACTTACAGCAGCTGCCTTGTTATTCTCGCGTGATTCTGTTTTACAATAATGGTTTCGTTGGAACACTATTTGAGCTTAACGCGCAGAGCCTGTGATTCTGTTATACGAATTTACAGTTAATCATTCTTTGTTCCGTTTATTGTCATAGCATTAGGGTGACAAATATGCTTGGTCGAACGCTCCGGATTGTCTTTGTAATTCCTATATTCCGATGTGTTTATCCGTAATTGCAGAAGCCGCTATTATACATGCTACCTATTGACTTACAGCTGCTCCTGCACCCGGCGGACTTTTCGGAGGTGAGGTATTTTCTGTACAGTGTCGTCAGGGTGAATTATGGCCACTTTTGTATCTTAACCAGACCCTTGGCTCCAAATTCCCCTGAATTGAGTTACTTAAACACCTAATGTTACATCTTCGGTACTAAAGGTAAAACCTATTGGCTCTTACAGCTGCCCCTGCATCCGTTGGACTTTTTGGAGGTGAGGTATTTTCTGTACTGTGTTGTCAGGGTGAATTATGACAACTTTGTTAGCTTAGGCAGACCCTGGGCTCCAAATTCACCTGCATTGAGTTGCGTAAAACCTAATGTTACATCTTC